CTGACAAGGATCCTGTCTGGCAAATAGCCTTTCTGACAAGGATCCTTTCTGACAAGGATCCTATTTGAAAAGGATCCTGTCTGACAAGGATCCTTTCTGACAAAGAGCCTGTCTGACAAGTAGCCTTTCTGACAGAGATCCTTTCTGGCAAAGAGCCTGTCTGACAAGGATCTTATCTGACAAGGATCCTGTCTGACAAGTAGCCTTTCTGACAAGGATCCTTTCTGACAAAGAGCCTGTCTGACAAGGATCCTGTCTGACAAATAGCATTTCTGACAAGGATCCTTTCTGACAAAGAGCCTGTCTGACAAGGATCCTGTCTGACAAATACCCTTTCTGACAAGGATCCTTTCTGACAAAGAGCCTGTCTGACAAAGAGCCTGTCTGACAAGGATCCTGTCTGACAAGTAGCCTTTCTGACAAGGATCCTTTCTGCCAAAGAGCCTGTCTGACAAGGATACTATCTGACAAAGAGCCTGTCTGACAAGTAGCCTTTCTGAAAAGGAACCTTTCTGACAAAGCCTCTGTCTGATAAGGATCCTGTCTGAAAAGTAGCTTTTCTCACAAGGATCCTTTCTGACAAAGAGCATGTCTGAATGACAGTTATTAATTAATTATTACGTGTCATTCAGACAGGCTCCTTGATTTTAGCATCTATTAGGATACAGGTTTTCCCCAGACCGCAAATTGATACATAAGATTAATCTCTAAAGATGCTAATCGGTCGTTTATACCTATCGAAAATACACCAGACTTCTGATATGCACTATCTTTACAAGAGTCAGATCAAACCAAAAATTGAATATTGCTGCCATATATTATTGAAGTGAGTGTAATTTCTGTCAGTATTTATTCTGTTATTTTTTATTATATATATATATATTATTATTTTATTTTATTTTATTCAATTCGATTGAGCTCCGAAGAGTGTGGCCTGGAACTATTAACTTATTCTATTTTTTTCTCTTTTCATTTTTTCGTTTTTTTTTTTTTCGTTTTTGTTTTTGTTTCCTGTTTCGTATCAACTACAGTGGTCGTGATTTTTCATTGCTTAACTTTTAATTACGTCCGTGTTTTTAGCCATAATAAAGTTCTGTACGGCTAATATGAATTGTATGTGTTATTCCAGCAGTATGGCGCCTTACGTTTTTAATAGGGAACAGTATTTCCCATTTAATCCCAATGTAATTTGCCATGACGTATTTAAATCTAACATATGTTAATTTACTCCAAGCTTATTCCTAACTACCACGTGTTATTTCAATTAGTTACAAAAAACGGAAATTACTCATGATTCAAGCTAATAGAATAAAAATATATACATATTCATCGTTCATGTACGTTATGTAATATACTGATAGTGGGAAAACGAAATCAGCAAGTTCGAATCTTGACTGAAGCTGCTTTTTTTTTTCCTTTAGCATTAATATCTTGTGAAAAATGCATGAAACCATATCCTTGTTCGTAACCAAAACCATTTGGTTGCTACTGCGCATGGGTGATTTAAAAGAGAGTGGGTGAATAAATACTTGTGTATGTGTTATGGGAACTTACCCATAATAATAATAATAATGGACTATTCTATACTTAATAAATACTGCGCCTCAGTCAGTAGTTCAAGTTGAGTCAAGAGTCGAGTCAGAGGCAGTCCGAAACAGAGTCGCGTTCAGACAATTACTACAAGACATTGGAATAGTGATACTGGTCGATACTACATTGTTCTCTCTACTAAACCTGATTGTTCATACTAACACTTCTACTTCTCTGTATATATTCCTGTTTGTAATATATCTGTGTTATTCCATACCTGTGTTCGCCTTCTTCTTTATTGGTTCTACCTTGGACTATCACCGTGGTACAAGAAACAGGACCATAACAGTATACTATACTATACTGATTATTTAGGCATTAGTTATAGTAAAAGGCTTAGTCGGTAATAACAGAGATTGTTCGCAAAATTAGGTTTTCCTACATTAAGTTAATTTATTCAATACCTGTTTGGCATATTAAAAAACAGAATTGCACTAAACTGTGGGAAGACAGAAGAAAGGATGCTTTTCTGGATAAGGGAAGAGGCAAGGATTCTGCGAGCAATAAATAGAAATAAAGATTATATAAAAATAGAAGGCTGTAGATTTTGCTATTTTTTATGGCATTTTTTCGCAACTTAAACAAAGTATTAAGAAACAGTTAAAAGTCCGTTAGAAAGAAAGAAAAGAGTACTGAACAGTTACATAATATCGGTTCCCCTATATGACAGTGAATACGGGACAATCTCCTCACAAATAAAAAAAGAGACTTGATGCAACAGACATACGGTTCTACAGAAGGATGCTGAGAATAACGTGTACCGAATATGTCAGCAATAACGAAATGTCAGAGAAAATGGAAACAAAAAGGACACTTACTTAACATCAGGAAGAGAGAGTTGAAATTTATGGTGCACATAATGAGGAAAGAGGGCTTGGAAAATTTGATACCCACAAAACAGGCAAGATGAACAAAGGAAAACAATACATAACCTACCTAGCGAAGTTTAGTAAATGGATGACGGAACAATGTTTAGGAGAGATAACAAAAAGACAAAAATTATTAAGAGTTACAAAGGAAACTGTGAAGGGCCATGATCGCCTACGTTCAGAAGGGAGAGGGCACAGAGAAGAAGAACAAATATTTTAGAAGAATCGATTTGGTCAGTAATTAATTGTAAATTGTTTTGCGACTTATATTTGAACATATTCTTTAGCCAATTTTAATGACTTAAAAATATTGACATGTATTTACTTTTTTACTATTGTTTACTCACGAGTCACTTAATGATATGTCCCGGAAAGGGATATATTTGCTTGAAGTAGCAAAGTGGTTGTTGACTACTGTAACCGGGTAGGACAATCGATCAGGTAACCGTAATGGACTGGTCCTCGTCGTAGTGGTAGGCAATAGGCGTAGCCAATAGGCGTAGTTCATGTACCTCCATATCAGTCTGTATTTATGGCTGACACCAGCCAATCATATTACTGTGAGGGGGAACCCAGGTGTATGTATATTCATTACATCACTTAAGGAAAAAGGTTAGCGGAATTAAATTGTTGTAAATGCGTAATGGAAAGAGGAAGATGTGCATATTATAAAGATATATAGGATAGTTATCGGTTGACTTTAGTCATGAAGAGATCACACCTACATACCCTCATTATGTGTACACTTACTTTCTCCTTTCACATCCTTACATCATTCATTAAATCCCTACCACGAGTGACTCTTGGACATTGTAATGTGTGAAAAATTAGTAAAATAAAGTATAAAGAGATAATCATTTATTACATATAATCAAATAAATCTGTTAGGAAACTATTCTTAAATATTAAGTAAAGATGCTGTGTTTAGATGACATAAAAATACATTCTAATTCACCTCACAGAAGAGTTTGTATTTGCCCGCTCTAAAGCAATAAAATTTACTATGTTAATATGAGTGCTGGGTTTTTCAGTTATGGGTCGAAAATTTTTAGAAACAATTTAAAATATTAAGTAGAGAAGCTGTGTTTAGATGACGTAATGAATACATTTTAACTCACCTCACAGAAATTACCATTGCCGAGACAGAAATAAAAGTGTTAAATATTCCCAAATAGTAATGTCATTTCTAGTGCAGGTGTTGGCTACAGAATTCTCGGAATATTCAATCAAACATACGGAAATATTTACTTATTTCCAAATTAGAGATTATACGGAGACAGCACAGACAGCTCAATTGTAACATTGACACATTTAATACATATGTTTTATCGTCTCTGTAATCTACTCTACTGGTAGATATGAAGCGATTATCTGACTTTCTGTAAACATCATTTCTGTTGTTCGTTAATTGTTTTATTTGTAAATATATTAACATCCATCTCTTCAGACAAAATAATTGAAAGCTTCTTTCATCGCAGTAAATATCGTAGAGATCAAAACATTTCGTTTTCCATCCACCTGAGAACAAGTTTGAAACTCTCGTGGTAAAATGATTCAGAGTTTTATGGAAATTTATGGATATTTTCCCTGCAAAATCCATATTACATTTCCTGCCATGAAGTCTGCCTCAAGGAGTGACATAAAATGCAGAACATGTTCTTTGTAACCGTTGGAGCATTAAGAAAAAGAATGAAAAAATACGGAGCTTCTCCGAAATAATTGACGTGTTGATTTTTTTTTTTTTGAAGAAGAAGAAGAACACTAAAATAAACAAAAAAATAAATAAATAAATAAATGAAACGGTAAAACTTCACATCGAAGCTGCAAAGACACCCGGGTCTTTCTTACTTGTTTATTTAATTTTGTTTTCGATTTTTCTCAGTTTAAATCAAATTTGAGAATTAAAATTATTTTTTTATTACAAGCATATTTCAGGTGAAAGCAAAGAGAACATTTAATTTCAAAAGCCCATCAACATATGTTTCAGTTTGTTGACAACGCGAGGAGTAAATCGGTTTCTACACAATATACGCATTCACGGAAGCTCTTTAGCATATATAGATATAAATTCAAACTTTCTGAAAATTATTAAATCAAATAAAAAGCAACTTTTGAAAATTACCTAAATGGAATGTAACGGAAAATGTGCCACATGATAATAAAATCTGAGACAATAAATTATATATATATATATATATATATATATATATATATATATATATATATATATATAAAATTAACTGATTTAAAATATGTTTTTCGCTACAACAGTAATAACCATGTTTCAAAAATGGAAGCTAAAATCTTTAAATTTAATTATATAATTAAATTAAAGACATTAGTTCCGCTACATCTTCAAGCGAATATTTATGCTCTGTAAATTTACATTGAAAATAAAAAATATCAATAAGAACACCGGATTATATATCTCACTGTTCTTCTTTAATATATATATATATATATATATATATATATATATATATATATACACGAAAGAGAGTGCAAAAGTAAGTATATACTAATGAAAAACAAAACGTGCGCTCAAAACGTATATCTACTTTGGCAGGGTAAGGTTAATTTGGCAAAGTATGGATAGATAGATAGATAGATAGATAGATAGATAGATAGATAGATAGATAGATATGAAGAGTCTGGGAGATAGATAGATAGATAGATAGATAGATAGATAGATAGATAGATATGAAGAGACTGGGAAATTAGATGGGTAAATATGAAGAGAATGGGGAGATAGATAAATAGATAGATATATACATACATACATACATAGATGCTCCATACCTATTGATATGTATGGAGATAAAATGGACAAAAATAGTAAGTTTAAAAACATACAACAATCGACTATTCTTGACGGCCCAATTCATCCTAACCCAGAGGCTATCCATGGTCTCTTCGAGGGCGAATTATTCAAGAATCTTCTTAGAACAACTTGTTCATGTGCGTTTGACATCCAAACTAGAAGTGCCAGAATAATTCTTCAATGAAATTCTCAATTATGCTGTTATAAATACAACATATTTATTCACTTATATCAGCGATTTCATAACGTAATATATATATATATATATATATATATATATATATATATATATATATATATATATATATATATATATTAAGTTTGGAAAGTAATTATACATTGTTATTGCATGAAGTAGTGTCCAATAGTGTTATAAAAACCTCGGAGAATTCCATTAAGATATCTTTAATTATTTCTAAGATAAAACGTTTCAAAGCTTAACCTAACAAATGGACTAGTTTGCTTTTACAATAATATATATATATATATATATATATATATATATATATATATATATATATATATATATATATAATCATAATAATAAAGTTGTATGTTTTAAATACATCTAAAACTAAAGAGTCGCCACATTCATTTTGCATATTAGCAAACCAATAATGTAGAAATTGAAAGAGAGGATACGTCAATTCATTGATAATCATTGTCCGTTTACTAAAGCCAAACCAGCTAACTGACATGTTAAAGACAAAAACATATAATTTCCTGTACGCTTGCCATGCGATGACCGAAGTGAGAATAATTGACACGTCTTGATGGCATCAAGCTTGGACGGAAAATTTTCGGAATTACTTTCAAAAATCGCTGGATGGCATTTATTTAATGAATTCGCTAAATATATGAAGTTAATATATGGTCACCACAAGTCTCATTCAATCGGTGATTGTGTTCCATCATTAATCCATTATTATTTTCCACAAGAGAAATTTCAGATCACTCTGTGTTAGCTCCATTAGCTGTTTCGAAGGACCTTCAAACACCGCTAAGGCATTTCTGCTTGTTTATTGTACACTTTTGCCTACTATTGTTTAAACCCAATCATGGCTACAGTGAAAACACGAACGCTTTGTCGTGGTGCGACCTGAAAATATACTATGTTGTCAGTAACAGATACGGTAAAACTTTCTGTACTGATTTAAAGGCTATTTTAAAGTTAGAATAAAATTGTTAACTTTTCTGTTGTCTGTATTCATGTAATCAGCAGCAATCCGGCAAAAACCGCTCATTCGGATTTGTGGTAGCTGTAGTTCACCATTTACGCCGTTACTAAGACAAAATACAGTCGAGGATTCAAAACAATATAAGGGCCATTTATGGATATTTCTCACTTTTATGAAGTTCTAAGGTGTGATTAGCAGGTGAAAATCAAGGTGATGAACGATGAAATCATACAAACATCCGGAAAATTTATAAAAAAAAACTTTTGTTTGAATTATTCAGTGAAAAGAGAAGCAATTCAGCTCTTAGCTATTTGGATCTAGGGAGGAAAGGGATTGGTCCTCCAACGCCTGAGCGTGTCAGATCGCTCGATTCGGCCCTCGTTGTGTTAAGGTAGCAAGAAGTTTCCTCACCATCCCTGATGGATCTGGGGAGAGAAAAAAATATGAATTCTTTATGACGAAGAGAAAAAGAATAGGATTTGATGAGAAAACAATGGAAAGTGAAATCAGGAAGGTCGGGGTTTCAGAGAAAAGAATGAACAGCTCGCAGCCGAATGGCAAATAAAGAAAAGAAAAGGGAGAAAGAAATCTGTCGTATCAAAAAGGTTTTGCGCGTTCGAAAGAAAAGGAATATAGAAAAAAAAAAAAAAAAAAAACATGGAAAAAGATGGATATCAATAAGATTGTAAGAATTAAAATGAGAAGGAAGATAAAAATAAAATACTGGCGGATACGCAAGTGAGGCATGGAAATGAGGAAACTCGGATGAAATCTAGCGAATTTCGTTCACTTGACCCGCTATGAGCTCGAAGCGTTCTCTCTGAGCAAAATTTTCTCACAGACCCGACTATTTTTGTTGCAGTGAGACGAGAAAATAAAACACTTTTTTCTTTTCTCTCCTCCTCTCGCTTTCTCTCTCCAAATACAGCTGCTTCTGTAGTTGAATGTAAGTTTTTTATTCAAAGGTTTTTTTCTTACACCTATATATATATATATATATATATATATATATATATATATATATATATATATATATATACAGTACCGGCCATAATATAAGGAACGGAAACAACAAAGACATAAATATGTGTATTACTTAAAAAGTAATGCTTGATTAGCAATGAAATTTTTACCGAATAAAGATTAGGGTGTAATGCATAAATATTATACAGAGTTTCAAAAATTTACATAATAGTTTGTTTTTTTAAATAAAGATTAAATTTTATGAAAGTTTATAGTTTAAAGTTTATAAAAAACTAGGTAATCCGCGTGGGTAAACCTAAGAAGGATAAAATCAAGAGAGCTCAATATAAATTCAGAGCAAATAATTTAAATAAAAACAGACCACTTTAAGGTTCTATGTAATAAATTATTTCACCACAGCCCTTTTAAAGGACTGCGGATCATCAGACTTTATTTCCAAACAAAAAATGAAAAGAAAATTTACACATTTTTGACGGGCGGTATTAAACATATGTAAATTAACGAAGTGAGGAAGTGAGGGGGAGAGAGAAGATATGAGTGAGTTAATAAATATTGACACATTTAAACAGTTAACTTAACGGAAGTTATATATTGATATACAGAGACAACTTCGATGTCCCAATGGGATCTTTTGATTCAGCTCAAATAGCTGACTTAATAGGTATATACATTTTAGATATCCTTAGTAGATTCCTTGAGCTTCAAAATGTAGGACTATACAGAGATGATGGACTGGTTGCTGTACCTGATACCAATGCTCCTTTAACATGCCAACTACAAAAGAAAATAATTAAGGCTTTCAAATTTCTAGGATTTAAAATCGAGATTTATCCAACCTAAAATAGTAAACTTCCTAGACGTTACATTTAATCTTAACAATAACACTTCCAAACCCTTCCAAAAGGAAAACCAATCACCCATATATATAAATATCTACTCTAACCGCCTCTAATAAAAGGATATACATAGGAATATCGGCGGGAAGTTGGAAACATCGCCAGTCCTTCAAAGATAAATGTAAAAAGAACCAAACGGCACTGTCAAAGCATTATTGGGATTTGTTGGATGGTGTCTTAACCCCACAAATAAAGTGCAAGATAATCTCGAGAGCCGGAACTCCAATAAATTTCAGAGACAGATGCGACTTATGCATAAAAGAAAAAATCCTCATAATAAAACATAAAGAACTGGATTTATTACTAAACAAATATAATGAACTAATTTTTAAATGCCGACATAAGAACAACCTAAATCTAACTAAATATATTTAGGAATAACTATATAGGAAGACTAATATTACATGAACTTGGTTTTTTGTTTTTGGAAATGTTGCTATGCACACATAAGTGCGAACACATAACTGTATGTATATAACTATGTAATTGAACTTGAACATTCATACGCCTTTTGATATGTATATGTATATGTATATGTATATGCGTTTATATGGACAGATAGGCATGCATGTGTTATTTGTGTGTATTGTGGGCACATTTTTGGAGTGGGTGGGTATGGTTATGGATATGTATGTATATATACTTGCATGTATATAGGTGGTCTGTTTTTTTTTAGTTTTTTTTTTTAAATATATGTAGTTATATGTACATATGGGTGTATATATGTGCATGTGTGGGTATGTGGGTACATGTATATGTGTGGATGTGTAAGTATACAATTTTTTATAATTTCTATATATGTATGTGTGAGTGTGGGTGTGTATATATAGATGGGTATATGTATGTCATTCCATAGATAGTGTATGTATGTATGTATGTATAAATATAAGAAGTTGTGAGTTCATATATATAATATGGGAGAATATAGATATAAGGTAATTAAGTATGGATTTTGATATGTTTTTCCATGCACGCACATGTGGGTGTGTATATGTATATATTTGTGTGTATATGTGAATATATGTATGTATATATGGATATGTATGTATATGTATGTGTGTATGTATACGGATATGTGTGTAGATGTATATTTATTGATACATAGAATATTCTAAAAGAAGGACTTACAGTCCTTTTAATAGTGTTTTAATCTCATTTTCTCATTTAATATTCTCCAATTGGAAGTGTGAGTTTAAAATTCTTTATAATATGGAGGAAAATTTTTAAAATTGATAATTTATTTTAAATTGAAATATATTACCCTTTAATAATCATTATTGATGATAAAATATTTAAATTGGAAAAATTTTTGATATTAGGTAGATGTTAATACATGAAGTTACCTGTGTATATCGGCACATGGGTACCTGTATGAGTGATTGAACGTGTAAAGGAACGTGTGTATATGTGATATTTGCATGGGTGTGTATACAGTATATGACAGAGCAAGATCTTTAATATTACCTTCAAATATTACCCCATATTAACTTAACTAAAATTTAAGTAAAAGAGATTACCTATCTAGAAACAGTCACGAGTTAAATTCATGAACAAAATTCAAACGGATAGAGATGTCAACTTAATAATCAATAATAAATTTTTTAAAGAGATTTAAAAAATGATTGCTAGAAGTAAACTTATATTTTAAAATGAAATTTTATTCTTTTAATGTACTTTCTATGAATATTTTTCTAATCGACTATTTCATAGAAAATACCCAAAATTTAAAAAAAAATTTAAATCACTAACAAACATCAAATTAAATTATTTGTAAACAGTTTAGAGACATTCAAATTTATATCTAACATTATAATCTTTATGAACCCCCAAAATAACACTTTCAAAATAAAATAAAATAACAGCGTTGTTTCAAGGCTTTTTTTCAAAGAAAATTAGTGACATCTTCTCTCATAACTTCCTTCTCTCTTTTTCTCTCTATGGGTTTTTTCTTCTCTACCCCTTCGATATCAATATATAACTTCCGTTAAGTTAACCGTTTAAATGTTGTCAATATCTGCAAATTCACTCATGTTTCCTACTCCCCCTCACTTCCTCACTTCGTTAATTTACATATGTTTAATACGGCCCGTCAAAAATGTGTAAATTTTCTTCCAATTTTTTGTTTGGAAGTAAAGTTTGATGATCCACAGTCCTTTAAAAGGGCTGTGGGGAAATAATTTATTACATGGAACCTTAAAGTGGTCTATTTTATTTATATATATATATTTATATATATATATATATATATATATATATATATATATATATATATATATATATATATATATACTTCTATTTGTTTGTGATGACATACGCATAGACATACATACATACAGGTGTACGTATATTGGTCGACACAAACACTTCCATATAAACAATACGAGACAGGATCACAAACTCATGTCCATACAACTGAATATGTTAGTTCTATCACTGATATTGAGTGCGTTCCACTAAGTACTGCGCATATAAAATAAAATATATAGATATAATAAGTATATATGTGGACACGTGACTGAGTGTTTAGAACGTTCGCATTCTGCGTATAAGACCTGGGTTCGAATCTCGCCATGGTCGATTTGTCATATATATATATATATATATATATATATATATATATATATATATAAAAAAGGCTTAAACACTAACATTCCATGGAATATTGGTGTTTAAGCCTTTTATTATATCCTTACTCTGTCCTGGACATTGAGTTCTACCTGGATTCTATCCTCTTGGAATTTTTATTAAAAAAATATACATGTATGTGTATGCACCTATGTGTATATATATATTTGCATATGTATGTGTATATTTACCACTACTATCTCTCTCTCTCTCTCTCTCTCTCTCTCTCTCTCTCTCTCTCTCTCTGTATATATATATATATATATATATATATATATATATATATACAAGTATATGTTTGGTGAAGTATTAATTTGTCTTTTCTCTCCACAAACTAGGAGTAAATTGTAGGACTTGTATCTGGGAAAGTCAGTGTTATTGCCAAAAGTTCTTAATGCTCTCGTAAAGGAATAAGTTATTCTTACAATCAAAAAATAATAATCATCTTTAATAAGCCACAAAGGAATGGTTATGCCACACAAGAAAATAATCAACCGTTATACGCCAATTTCGACCTTTTTATTTTCTTTGTACTTTTATAAAAGTATCAATGAAAATTAATACGAAAATAAGGATTATTTTATTACTGGGTATGACTTATGGAGAATTTTTCTTTTATGTTCTATGACTGCAGGGAACAATATGGGTTTTATTCAGAGGGATACAATTTAAGATATCAGTTTGTAAATGCCAGTTTATCGTTTTAGTTTGTTTTTTTTTTTTAAGCATTTCACCCCAAGCAAGGCGGGAAGCCACTAGGACGCAAGGGGTTACAGAAAATAGGAAGATCAGATAGGAGTGATAGATGAAAGGATGAGGGTAGTAGATAGATTAAGGCAACTGGAGATGTCGATTGACATTACACTTGAATAGCTGGAGATTATAACTCACAGGAAACAGGAGAAGGGAAGAGAGTTCCACAGGCGAGAGGTGCGAGACATGAAGCTATTAGAGTAGAATAGACGGCTACATTTAGGAGTTTCGACAGTGAAGGGTTGAGAAAAAAGTAGAATAAAATCTGTTTTTTTTTCTAGTTAACATATTTAATTATGTAGAAAATCATTTTCGAATTCAGAACTCCAGATATAATGAACGAATATACTCAAAATGTGTCACTTTACCTTGAACATCAGTTGAGATTCTAGTTCACTACAGATATCAGGTGTAGATTATAGACACAATCAACAGACACTGAAAGATTGCTCAGTTCCTTGAATATTTCCAAAAGTAACCTGAATCCTCCGACAATATTCTAACTTTTCAAAATCTAACCAAAAGTCCATTATTATTCTCATTCCACCATTTCAAGCATTAAAAGAGTTGAAAAGCATTTATTTGGTTTTGTCGTCAGTGAATTATTTCCAGCGATTCAGCGCCTTTTCCACAGGCAAAAACATGGCCGGCCTCTCGCTAATCCATCGTTTATCTCCTTGGCAAAGGTTGAGACGAGCTACCTCCCGAAGTTCCAGCATTTCTTACCATTACAGCTAGTATAGGCCATGCCACATAAACATGATCGAATCACATTAATTCGTATTTCTTCGGCATGAAAGAAGTTCAATTCAAACAGTTTGATCCCGAGAAAGTCTACTTTCTGTAACAGACACCCGAGAGGATATTTCCTTGATCACTACAAATCTTAACCGCTTCAATTCTTGGATCATCCTTAATCTGTCCTAGATAATTTGATAAACTGCACTTCTTTTACATCCACACAGCAATCTCATTTGGTAACCATTTTCTTTGAGACGTTTTTTTGATCTTGGATTCGTGTAATATTCAGTATAAAACGAACCCCAAAACCGGATGAAATACTCACCTTGTTATGTTGACGACAATAAAATTGCCTTCCTCTTAAGCAAGGATACTGTTTTTAGCAATAAAATCAAACAATTAGAAGTACATTCTCAGTCTTAATTTTTTATGACAAGTACTATCTCTGTCTATCTATCTTATATATATATATATATATATATATATATATATATATATATATATATATATATATATATTTTGTAGATAATACAGAATCTATATGTTATTCTGTTCATATCTATCTATCTATCTATTTCAGTTTTCTTTCTATAAATATATCTCAAATTTTATTATCTCTCTATATCAACATGTCTTCCTACCTATACTCCTATCTCATTTTCCCCTTCGTCTGTCTGTCTGTCTATCTATCTATCTATTTTATATATAGTACAGACTGTAAATGTTATTCTGTTCATGTCTTTCTATTTAAATATCTATCTGATTCTATTCATATCTATGTATCAATTGATCTATTCCAGTCTCTAAAATCTATCTATCTCTATCTATCTATCTATCTATCTATCTATCTATCTATCTATCCCCCTACCCTGTCTCTCTCTTTCATATATATATATATATATATATATATATATATATATATAAATATAAATGTAATATATATATATATATATATATATATATATATATATAATATAAAATGTAATGTTTTTTAATTGAATTCTTAATTCAAAGCTTCATCGGTCTAATATTCATTAATGGAGAAGACAAGTGAAGCAGTTTGCCTCTGACTATGGACCGTTTTACTTCTTTCGCATTTGCCCTTGGGAAAAGCATTCATTTTCACCCTTACGAATTCATTATCCACACAAATAATCATAAAAAAATCTTTACAAAGACATCGGCTTAAAGAAAAGCCAATAAAATTCGTTTGTACACTTCAATCAACAGTCAACCTGACCTTGTGTTCTGCAAAGAGTTCGAATAAAATGTAAACAACAAACTGGAAAGCCATTTTACAGCACAGACCATTGCAATCATGGCTACTGCATTCATTAGTCGAGAATTCTTGTTTTTTTTTTATTATCTGCTGTTATTTTGGTCAGTCAATGACTTGGATTTGTAATGGCATTGGACAGGAAAAATGGCGAAGGTTTTTTTTCTTTTGTTTTGTTTCTGAGAGTGCCCATAGCAAGGATGGCATTCAAGACGCCATATTTTTAAGTAATTAATGCTTATGATAATTGTGATAATTGCATTGGAATGTTGTATCGCTGATTGTGACATACTGATGGTATGGTGTTTAAAAATGATGGCTAACACCTGCTGCTGCAGCTGCTGCTGCTGCTGCTGATCATCATCATCATCATGGTCTAATAATGAGAAAGCTCCAAGTTATTGATAGTATAGAAATTTATCGTGATAGTATAGAATTTGTCATCATATGACAGTAAAACATCGATTTAACATCCTCATCTTTATTGTCATATTCACATCGTTTCGGCCGTTGTACGCTCAGATTTCTTCAGATGATATAGGTTGGTATGTCGATTCGAACTCTTTATTTTGTCCACGGGGGGGGAGATTGTTCTAATTTCACTTGCCATGCCTCTTTTGGATTTCTCAGTTTCAGTTAATTTCCTTTAGAGTCAAAAAGAGACATTTGAAATTTCTGCATTATAATGAGGAAAGACGACTTGGAGAATTTGACACCTCCGTGTCATATTGAAAGCAAGACGGCCAGAAAGAAACAGCAAGTGACTTACCTGCTGAACTCGTGTAAATGAATGACATAACAGAGACTGTGGAGATATTAAGAGAAGAGATATTGCTTAGAGCTATAATGTATAAGAAATACCCACAGCCTGAAGAGAAACGACAAGAAGAAGAAGAAGAAGAAGAAGAAAAAGAGGAAGAAGAAGAAAGAGGACGAGTGGGAAAAGAAAAAGTAGGAGGAGGTGGAAAAGGATGAGGAGGAAGAAGAAAAGAAGAAGGAGGAGGAAGAAAAGGAGGAGGAGGAGAGGAAGAAGAAGAAGAGGAGGAGGAGGAGGAGGAAAAGAAGGAGGGGAGGAGGGAAGGAAGCTGGAGGGGAGGGAGAAAAAGGAGGAGGAGGAGGAAAAGAAGAAGGAGGAGGAAAAGAAGGAGGAGGAGGAAGAAGAAGAAAAGAAGGATGATGATGATGATGATGATGATGAAGAAGAAGAAGAAGAAAGAGGACGAGAAGGAAAAGAAAAAAGTAGGAGGAGGTGGAAAAGGATGAGGAAGAAGAAAAGAAGAAGAAGAAGAAGAAGAAGAAGAAGAAGAAGAAGAAGAGGAGGAGGAGGAGGAAAATAAGCTGGAGGGGAGGGGGAAAGAAGGAGTAGGAGGATGAGGAAAAGAAGAAGGGGGATGAAAAAGAAGAAGAAGAAGAAGAAGAAGAAGAAGATTATCGTAATCAGACTTTGGTGCCAGGTGTTCTACCGTAATACTGACTGAACGTATTGATGGCATAATCATAGTTTTATTATTATGAAGTTACCAATGCTAGATATCATTTATGGTTTTGTGATTATTAACTTTTATTGTTTTAAGATAAGTTCTTGTTTTCTTTTTGTTTTAAGATAAGTTCTTGTTTTCTTTTTGTTTTAAGATAAGTTCTTGTTTTCTTTTTGTAA